AGGGTATATCCTTTGGTTGGTTGATGATGCATGGAGGGGATTTAACCATGGCAATGAAACCATATACAATAGGATGAATGTAAAACTAATGTTCTCCCATGTAAACTATCACATAATTCACAATAAAACATTAAAAAAACAAATAAGCAAACTACATTTTACTCAAAATCCCAATCTATAAACATGTTCATAAAATGGCTATGTGTGAATTAGGGTGTGGCAGGCATTCCCTATTCCAAGTTCAGCCGCATTCATGTGTAAAGCTGTGGAAAACCCGGGGCACCTCAGGACATACTGTGAAAATCTCTGCTTGGCTCAGTGATGTCTGTGCCCCTCTGTGGACCCAGCCCTAACTAAACTCAGCAGGGTGGTGGAGACCCCTAAAGAATGTCTGTCCTAGGGTAGCTGCTGATCCTGTGGGCAAGACGTTGACCCCAAACCAGGGTTCAAGGATGAAGGGCAGGAAGGCATGCCACCAGTTTGCTATGAGACTCCAGCTGGTTCTGGGCCCTGTTCCTTTGAACCATGGGAGGTGGGTGGGGATGGGGGTGGGGATGGGGTCTCTACAGTATGGTTGGGAGGGAAGGCAGCCTTTCTGGTGCCCCATGGCTGGTAAGCCATGAGACACAGGCTGAAACGGTTTAGCAGAACTCAACTAATGTACACCAGAGTTGGCAAGCTGGGAGGAGGCCCAGGCGTGGGCAGAAGTTGAGCGGGAAGAAGGAATAGTCAACAGGATAAGCACTGTGCCTGGCTGAGTGTATCCGTGCCACTTTCAGAATGTGGGTGAACCACCCCAACTAGCCGGCAAGCTACCACCTTCCATCTGAAACTTCTGTCTGAGGAGAGGTGGGAGCTTTCTTAAAGAGATATGCGTATACTTTCAGAACTGGGGAGAGGCAGGGGTGGCACCCACTGGGGGCAGGTATAGGAATACAGGGGCAGATCTGAAGCCCTCAAGTAGAGTCACTGAGCTTGAAGACCTGCCTCTTTCTTGCTGGGGAGATTAAGTCTCACTACTGATGTGCTCTAGGAAAGTCAGCTGTTGTTGGGGTGAATGTGAACATCATGCGTACCCAAAAGCAAGTCCCTGATTTTCTCTGAGCTTCAGTTTCTTCATCTGTAAAATGGGGATGTTTCCTGATTGCAGGGGTGCTGTGATGCTGCAGGACAACCCGAGTAGTGTCCACCTTGGTGTGCCTCTAGGGGCAGGAGTTCAGTTATAATGTAGCTCCAGTCTCTCCCCAGCTCTGGTACTGTAGTGATTATGAGTCGGGCTGCTAACCCTAAGGACAGCAGTTCGAAACTGGGAGTTCCCAGCTGTTCCATGGGAGAAAGATGAGGCTTTCTGCTCCTGTAAAGATCTACAGCCTCAGAAACCCTGTACAGAGTCACTATGAGTCAGAACCAACTCCACAGCACATAACCACCACCACCAGTCTCTCCTCTGTTTGAAAGAAGAGAACTAGAAAGTTCTCCCCAGAGAGAATCAAGTACAAAATTGCACATACAACTTCCGGAGTTTAAGGAGTAATTTAAGGAATCCCTGGGTGGTACAAAACAGTTAAACACTTGACTTCTAGCCTAAAGGTTAGAGTTTGAACTCACCCAGCGGCACCTAGGAAGATGGGCTTGGCATTCTGCTTCAGAAAGGCCACAGCCTTGAAAACCCTGTGGTCAGCTCTTCTCGGCTCACGTGGGGTTGCCAGAATCAGAATGGATTTAGCAGCGGTTAACAACAACAGTAATTTTGAAACCCACCCTAAGCCTGTGCCTGCAGAGTCCTAACTCTAGAAGATCTATAGAACTGGATATACAATGGGGCAGGGTATGTTGGAGGGGAACTAGATGGAGCAAGGAGTTGGGGAAGGGATGGTGAAGGGGCAAAGGGATCAGATACTAGTACCACCAGCCACAGCATCACCCTTCACTGGCTCCAGGCATCAAATAGGAGCCGCAGCCGAGTGCCCGCACCTCACCCTCACCCTGCTCTGACCTCCCCTCCAAGCACCTCCTAGTCTCACAGACCTGGACAGTCTGTGAGAGCATCTGTGCACAGTCTGTGCGTACTCTATACTTCTGTGCGCCCCATGTCTGTGTGTGCTAGTGAGTGTGTATGATAGGCTAGTTCTACCTCCTCTCCCCGTCCTCCCCCTACTGGGCAGCATGGCACAGTTCCCTGATAGAGCCTATACACTTCCTTTGCAGGCTCCACACCAGCCCCACTCCCCCATTGCCAGCAGCCTGGCCCACCTGGTGAGGCCCCCTTCCTGGTCCCCCAGGCAGGCAGTACTGAAAGGCCCTTCTTGTCCTGCCTGGGTGGGCGGGTGGACATTGGGGGTGGTGTGTGTGTGTGTGTGTGAGTTTTCTTGGTTCTGAAACAGCTTTTCCAGAGTCTGGGTGGGCTGAATCAAAACACACACATACACACACAGAATTTGCCCATAGTACCATAAATCTACTGCTTCACAGTGACCCTATAGGACTCTATAGGATTCTGAAACTGTAAATCCTTATGGAAGGAGTCAAGTTTCTCTCTCCCAAAGAGCCAGTGGTGGGTTCAAACCAATGACCTTTCAGTTAGCAGCCTGACACTTACTCCACAGCACTACCAGGGTTCCCCACAGTACCACTGTTGTTAAGTGCGGTTGAGTTGGTTCTGACTCATAGGGACCCATTATAAGGTTTCTGAAGAGTGGCTAGTGAGTTTGAACCTCCAACCTTGTGGTTCAAACCAACCTTCTAGTTGGATGCTTATCCTGTAGCACCACACCAATTTCCTCCAAGCCACTCTCAGAGGCAGCATAATCAAGCCTGGTTCAGTTCTTAGTACCTGCAGGATACCCCATCAGTTCAGTGCTCCCCACCTGAGTCCTCACAGTCTGCATTTTAAAGTCAGAGATGCCAGGGAAGGAAAGAGGTGTAGGAGCCACTGTCCCTGCCTGCTCTGTGGCCAGTATCACCTCCCAGTTTAGGTTATGTTATTCCCCATGTCTGGAATATCTTCCTTCTCTTTTTTGCCTATCCTTTAAGGATCAGCTCAAACCCACTCTCCTCCATGGCTTGTCTTTCTGCTGAAGGCTTCCTATAGGGGCTAGAAAGGCCACCACCACTCTAACTAACCCACACTACCACAGGCTCAGAGCTCTACCAGAGCAGGGCTGGGGGCTCTTTCTGGACAGCTGGGATTCTCTGTGGGAGTTAGAGTGCTTTTCTTCTCTGGGACCTCAGTTTCCTTGTCTGTACAATAGGAAGATTGGCCCAGATGGCCTCCAAGGGCACTTGACTCCTAGGCACCATGACCTAGATGCTCTGGAATGTTAATGAGCACAGGGAATCATTCCACTCTGGGGGTAGGGCCTGCCCCTATTGCAGAGACCTGGGCAGGGAGCTGGGTCAAGGGTGGGGATGGAGCTAGGTTGTTGGAGGGGAGCGCTGCCTGGATGGTGGTGGTGTACTGTGGAGTCAGTTCTGACCCATAGCAACTCTGCACAGAGAAAGCCTCATCTTTCTCCCGTGGAAAACACCAGCTGTCCCACTCCCTTCCCCATTTCCAAATCCCTCTTAAATGCAGGGATCAGTTTAATGCTCTAAAACTCCACTGGCACCATACACTCCCCTACCCTAAAACTTTTGTTGGCTCCTCACTGCCAACAGAGCTAAAGCTGTAGGCTTCATTCCGCTATTTATTCATTCTGTGCTCCAGCCCCAAGGCTCTCCTGGCTTCATGGTCAGAATATGCCAGTAAGCCAGGCTGCTGGCCTTCCTATCTCAACATTCCTCTGCTTATACCCATTTCAGTAAGTACTTTTATCCCTGCGAGCCACTTCTCTGGAGAGTGACCCCCTTCCTCATCCTCTACAGTTTGATTTAAGGAACATTCCCTCCTTTTTACTCCACCCTGCCATGCCCCAGCTTGTCCCTGAATTTCTCTTCTCTGTGCTCTGGATTTGAATCTGCAGACCCGACCAGGAATTGCTGCTGGAGTTTTAATGCGCTTTCAGCCTTCTGAATGAGTCCACAGTCAGCCTGTCTATTTCTGTATACCCCTCATTGCCTAGAGCAATGCCTACACATTGCTGGTGCTGAGAACCAATTTGAGAGTGGTTCTCAGAAGTAGAAGGAGGTGAGGGTGCTGGAATCGCCTATGGCTAAGACCTGGGGGCTGGATGAGCTGACCTCCCCTGTTATCCTAGATACATCCTTCTCACTTATGTAGAGCACAGGCTGTTGGTTGCTCAGCCCTTAGATATTGGGTGGGGTCCCTGGGGATAGAAGTTGGGAGCCTGGGGATCCAGTTCTGATTCACCCTGGTAGAGGGGGTCCTCCCCTGACTCATTTCCCTTCTGGGTACCTCGTGATGCCCTCCATTAGAACTGGCTTCCCCATGTGATGGGGAGAAGGGTGTGGCCTTGCCCCTAGAAAGGAGACTCAGGCCCTTCCTCTGCTGAAAGTTGCTCTTGGGAATAGTTCCAAAAGATGTAGGCTAAAGCACTGATTCATACATGGGTAATAATGAATGATAGGCCCTGGGGGCGAAGGTTCTTATGGCACAATTAGACCATGCCTTAACTAAAGGAAAAATGCTGTAATGGTAGGCTTTCTGGCATTGTGACAAAGAGGGGACATATCCCAGAGCCTCTCAGAAGGCAAGCTTTCATTCAGTCTCTGCTGGGGGTCAGACATCAATGCCAAGGACTGGGAGGGTGTTGCACAGATTGTTGAGGGACAGTCTTGGGGAACTAGCCCTGCCTTTACAAGGATGAAGTGGTCACGTCTGTCATCAGTGGAGTCCGATAGAGACTTAAGGAGGAGAGGGCAGGTGGGAGGTGGGAGGTGGCAGGAGAGAGGTCAACCAATCCAACATACACCTGGGAACAAGGAAAGAGGGAGCAGGAGCAACAGGGGGGGGGGGGGGAAAAGTTGGAGGAGATAGAGGCCGAAGTACGGCCCCTGACACGGGTGAGGCAGGGCGCACTGCCTAGGGTACTTGCTCTCCGCTGTCATTGTGGTCTCGGGGCAACAACAGACGAACGGAGTGCACGGAGCCTCGAAGGTGTTGTGGTGGCTCCACTGGGTGTGGGTGACAATCGGTGTACGTAGAGCCACGCCCTAGACAGGCCAACCCTTGATGCCCCTGGCCATACGCGCTGGACAACCTCGGATAGCCAGAGCCCGGAAAACCCCGGATCCAGAGCCTTCCGTGGGGTCCTGGGATCGAACTCTCGGAGGCTTCCGTCTAGGGAGGGTGAAGGGCCGGACCCTCGTCTCCAGTCTGGCGCCTCCCGTCCCTTCTTTCGATCTTAGGAACACCCCCACAGCTCTTTCTAGGCTGGGCCTGGGGTCTTAAGCCCCTCACTCACCTGCGGATGTGGGGTTCACCAACACAGCTAAGGTCAAAACCAGGGCCAGAGCGGGCGCTGGCGGCGGGGGCCGCGGGCTAGAGCGCATCGCGGCGGCGGGCTGGACGGCGAACTGGAGAGGCGCGCGGACTCTGGGCACCAGGCTGGCGAGTGAAGAGTGCGAGGCGGCGGGAGCTCTCGGGCGGCCCGCTGCCGTACTTAGCTCTGGGGGCGGGGCAGGCACCAACCCAGGCGCTCGAGTTTCAGGCCGCCCCGCACGGTCCGACCCCCCCACCCTCCCAGTGCCCCCTCCCACCTTCTTAAAGGGACCATGCTGGGCAGCTCCTCCCAGAGCAGTGGGGGAAAGGACCCTTACTTTTTTGTCAAACCTAAGCCCCTTTGCGGAGATTTGAGGCAGAAATACCAGAGGAAATTGAGTTCGAAGGCTGTGGGCCCAGATCCCTCAGCTCTGACTCGGGGACTCCCCAAAATCCCTCTGGGAGCAGGCCTGAGATGGGTCAGACCTCTCCCTCTCTTCTTTCCACCCGGCAGGAGAATAGATGCCCACCCGCCTACCCCAGCAGGCTGCCTTTAGGCTGCTTTGCTTCTGAGACCTCCTCAGGACTCTTGTTCAGACAAAGGGGCACCATTGGGGAGGACAGCTCTGTGCCCAGGACTTTTATGACCTTGACCTCTGCTGCCCCCCAGGGCCTCAGTGTGTCAAGGAGGGATGTCTTGGATTCTTCCACAGGACAGGAGTAATTCTCAACTCCATGATGTCATTTGTCTCAAAATAACCCTGGAAGGTCTGGGGAGGACCCACCTCCATTTTAAGGAGAAGGAAACAGGCTCAGAGCTGGCAGTGGCTCTTGTGTAACCCCAAGTCGAGAGGAGGCTTCTGGCCACTTGGGATCAGGAGCCCCTGGCCTGATCCCAATTTACTGGGCTGTCTTCTGAAAATCTAGGCCTGGGTTTAGCTCCTACCTAACAATTCTCAGGCTGGGGCCCTCTCTTTCTGGCTCCCTGCCAGACAACTTCAGTCTTGTTCTAAATAGAAGGAGAAAGGGCAATGTCATACAGAGTTTCTTGCACCCAGAGGCTCTGCCTAGCCCCAGCATCATTGTGGCCTGGCCTTGGTTTTTCTATCCAGCAAATGGGTAGAAGAACACCTTGGTGTGCTCTCTCACTTGCTCCCCTCCTCCATTTAAGTCCCTCCATTGACACTTGTCAGCTCCAGGCCACCCCCCACCCCACATCCTCTACCTCCTCCCCTTGATTGATGATAGACCCACCATGTGTATAGCATTTGATATTTTGTCATGAAACTAAACCCCATTTTGCAGATGAAGAAACGGAGACAGAGAAGAGAAAGTCCACAACTGCTAAGGAATAGAGCCAGATCTTTGATCCTAAGCCCAGTCCACAGCACATCATGATGGTGTAGTGGTTATGAGAACTGGTCTTAAACCCAGACAGACCTGGTTCAAATCCCAGATCTCCTACTTAACTGTCCAACCTTGAGTAAGGTGCTTCATCTCTCTGTGACTCAGTTTCTTCACTTTCAGTATCAGGTTTGTGAAGATGAAATGTTTTAATGTACCTCAAGTGCCGAGCCCAGGCCTGACATACAGGAGGCACATGAGTAACTTGTTTACTCCATTTCTTTTATCTCTGTCAAATTCACACTAGCAAAGTACTTAACGGTTTGCACACACCTTTACACCTATCACCTCCTACAATGGAAAGCCAGCTCTTTGTCAAAGCATGTAGTGAATGCTCCTGGTGTGGCATTGTAGGATAAGCACTGGGCTGTGAATCAGGTCGGTGGTTCAAACCCACCGGCTGCTCCTTGGAAACCCCACACAGGGTTGCTATGAGTTGGAACCCACTCGACGGCATTTAACGACAGCAACGTGCTTGACTAAGAAGCCAAGTTGCTGCTGTCTAAGGGGATTTTGGCAGACCTAAGAACTTCCATCCGGTCACCTCAGGAGGCCTGGGGCTGAGGCTTTACCCAGCTGGCCTCAGTAGCGATGTAACCATTGATTCCACATTTGTCCCTTGTTTTTCCTTTTTCCCCCAGTCAGTAATGCACCTGGTCCTCATTAGGGGCTAATTACTGGCCAAGAGTGGGCTGTGGGCCTGGGGCTGGGGTGGGGGTGGAGGGGAGAACAGCTTGGAAGGCTGCGTTTAGAGGAAAAGAGCTCTCATTTTAGGAAAGAAGGAAGGGGAATGCCTATGCTTTTTTATGAATCAAAAACTTGGGTGGAAATTCCCCCCCCCCCCCCACTGTCTTTGCCCATCTTCACTGCTCCCCACCCACACAGATCTATCCATCGCCTCCAGGAGTGGTTTGTCTGTCTGTGGAGCCTCTAGACAGGGAGTTCCCGCCCACAGCTGAGATTCAAGTTGGGATTAGCTGGGAGCCTCTCCCTGCCTTGTTGCTAGCTGAGGAGAGAAACACAGGCCCGAAAAATAATGGCAACCGCCACGGCAGGCATAACCCGGCCTGCGTGTCTCTGCTGGAGCTCCCAGTTTACAAAACAGTCATCTGGTCTCTTGACAACCCTATAAAGTGTGTGTGTTGGGGGACAGTGTTCCCTTTTCACAGATGAGGAAGTTGAGGCTCTGCATGAAAAAGGGGTGCTGGGGTCCCAGTGTACACAGGCCTGCAGACCTTGCTCAGTCTGCAGGCCAGGCCTTGATCCCTACGATCCTGAGGGGTGTCATACCAGGCCAGCTGACAGAAGTTGATATCCTGGTGCCATTTTAGAGTGAATCCCTGACTGCCTCCCAGAGCAAAGGACATGAGAAAGGGCCATGCCTGTTCCTCAGTTGTCCCCTCCCATCCTCAGAGAGCTCCCCCGAGGCCCCTGTGGCCCTAGTCCTGAGGAGAGCTGGCATTTTCAGGCTGGCTCAGGCCTTCTGCCATCCAACCTTTGTTATGACTTTCTCTGGCTTAGGTTGGCTTGGTGTCCTTGGTGACCATCCTTGACTGCCCCTGCCTCCCTGACCACATCTTACATTCCTCCAAGAAGACCCTTGGTCTCCCTCAAGCACTCTGACCTTTCCTCCATGATCTCATGTTCCATGGGTCAGGAATGTGGTATCTACATCTCCCTTGACCCCCAGACTGGGAGTGTCTACTTCTCTGAGTGGTGCCTGGCAAAGCACAGGGGTGGGAGAGGAAGGAGACTCAGAGTACACCTAAAGAGACAGCCTTCTGCTCCCCCACCCCAGGGGTGTGTGAAAAGAGAGCCCAAAAGTCTCTGAAGCAACAATGGCCTGTGTTGTGTGCTGACTCAGTTTCTCCAAATTACTGCTCAAAGGAGAAAATGACGACAGTGTGCTCAGTTATACCCACATCCCTGCCAGCAAAGTTCAGCCAAGTCTGTGGGCAGGTCCCTCGTAGCCACTCTTACCCCCGCGCTTCTTGCACCAAGAGTGCCGGCTCTAGCAGTAAGTAGCTGTGACTTGGCCCTGTCCTTGGCCAGGGCCTGGCACTCTGAGTGCCTCTGTGTTTTGCACCCTGACCACTAGGCCCCACCCAAGGAGTCTGTGGCCAAAGCCAGCTTGCTGGTAAATGGTGTGTGTTGTGCCTGAGATGGGGAGGGTGGTGGGGCGTGGAAGGAGTGGTGTGCCTGAGCAGGAGTGCATTCCAGTTGCCTAGGTTCTACCCTTAAGAAATTGGTCTTGTGCCATGAAGGACACTGAGCGCAGGCCACAACTGTGCGAAGGGACACGGGCTTTAGACTCCAACTCTGTGCTCCCGCAGTTTCATAGCCAGGGCACCATGGACCTCTGTCCAGAGACGTCTTGCTCCTGCTTTCTGGCTGGAAGCATTTGTAGGGCTCCTCCAAGTGCCTGCAGCCAGGCTCAGGAGGGGCGGGAGCAGCTACTCCCAACAATTACACAATTCGGGAGCTGGGAAACTATGTTTGCTGCCCCCGGGAGCCAGATCTGGATGGGATACCAGTGGCAGGGCTGTGCCTAGGCTAGGATGGGGAGATGGAGGTAGGAGTGGGAGTAGGGAGGGGGCTGACGAAGGTGTTTAGCGGTGGGGAGGACGATCTTGGAGCCTCTGTCAACCTGGAGCAGGCACTGGTCTTCCATACCATGTCCACAAAGGTTCATGGCTTCAGTGGCTGTGAGCAGCTGGCCACAGCTGACTCGTCAGTGTTTATGTTATTTCTAAATATTAGTGCATGCTATTAACCCTTGCTTTGCCCCACTCTGCCCACAGAGAGAGCCTCTGGGATGAGTTCCTAGCATCCCAGTCTGGGCGTAATGTTGATGACTGTACCTGATCAAGCATGGAACGGGCATCTTTGGGGGCTAGAGTTGTTGTTAAGTGCCATCGAGTTGGTTCCAACCCATAGCGACCCTGTATAGAGTTTCTAGGTAGTGGCTGGTAAGCTTGAACTGCCGATGTTGTGGTTCAAACGATCTTGTAGTCCAGTGTATTAATCCACAGCATCACACCCGGGCTCCTGGGGGCTAGAGTGGGGCTTCCAAAAGAAGGATAAAAACACCAGAAACACCTGCTCAACATGTGCCTTGAGCCGTGTGTCTGAGCAAGCGGCAGGGCAGGGCAGTGGAAAGAATGTGGGGTTAGGAGCCAGAAGTCCTGTCCTGCCAAGCCTTTTCTGTGTGGCCTCAGGCAAGTCACTTCACTTCTCTGCACCTTTAAAATATAATGGATAAAATTTATATTTTAGAGCAGTTTACAAAAAATTGAGCCAACAGTACAGAGTTACCATACACCTGCTTCCCGCCCCAATTCCCCCCATTTTAATATCTTGCATTCCTGTCATGTACTTGCTACAATCCATGAACCAATATCAGCACATTATTATTAACTAAAGTCTATAATTTGTGCTAGGAGCCCTGGTAGAGCAGTGGTTAAAGTGCTTGACTGATAGCAGAAAGGTTGGAGGTTCGAACCCACCAGTGACTCCATAGTGGCAGTCTGCCTTAGGAACCCAATAGGGCAGTTCTACTGTGTCCTGCAGGATCGCTATTAGTTGAAATCAACCCAGCGGCCCCATGGGTTCTATAGTCTGCATTAGCGATCACTCTGTGTGGTACCAAATACAAACCAAACTCATC